GGAGTTCCCGCGAATAAAAGGGAATATAAAGAAGAGTTACGGAAGGGACATGGAAGAGACTTGAGGGCCTCGGATATAAGATTGCCAGGTTAATGTGCTAGATTAATAGGATAAAAAGGACTGACAAAACCCGGGACCAGGAGGAAGGGACGTTGGATGAAGACTGGATTGCTTTTTTTCTTTTATTTTTATCATTAGGACTGTTTTATAAAATTGATGAATGTTAGGAAAATGTTGAAATGAAACTATTTGGCTCTTATAAAAATGTCTAAAGAACTAGGTAAGAATGTTATGGTTTAGGAGAAGTTGGTAAAAATTAAGATTTAAGTTTTAAACTTTAAGGTTTTCTATAAGATAAGATGAAAATAGATCAAGGTAATGTGATTACAGAATACTATTGTCAAGGCTGCCTCAAGTCTTAGCTCACAAAAGACCAACGCCTACGTCTTCTTGAATACAAAGGTGTTTATTGCAGTTCATGGTTTGCTTGACATCTTAGGCGCGCAGCCTCACGTCTCTTACGCTAGACCGCCGAAGTCCCGTCTGAGTCAGTTCCTCCTCTGCACCAATTTAAGAGACTTGCGCTGCTCCACCTCTTTCTCTCCTTCCTTTCCGCAGGGTCTTTCTGCCCCCTGGGGTTTGCCCCTTCTGGATTCCTCTGACGCGGAATCAGACTGCTGCTCCCCCTCCTGCGGGCTTTGGGACCTGGCCCCTCCTCCGGGCTCCCTGCACTTCCGCGCGCCTCTACATTTGAACCAGGCGCGCGCGCCAAACCTCTAACTTTCCTTTTGACAGTTACACTGCTCCCTTCACTGCTCCTCCCCTTCCGGGAGGGCTGCTTGCTCTGACCCCTCCTCTCTCTGCTGCTGGAGCTCCTTCCTCTGACACACTGGAAACTCCACCCCCTTCGCTGCACTTTGGTGGGGAGGCTGGTCCTGACGCCCAGCTGCCACTTTGGGATCCTCCGCTGGCACCCTGCTCCTGACATTTCCCCTGGGGCTCCCTGGCCCTGACCACCGGCGCCCCTTCTGGGAATCCTCTGATTCGCTGGAAAGACTCATGGAATCCCTTGAGTCATTGTCGTCCTCTTCCTCACTGGCTTGGAATTCCTCCCCTTCGCTCTCCATCTCCTGCCTACCCTGTGCCTCTCTCTCTGAACCCCTGACAACTATGAATTATGGAAAGGATTTGCTGTGATTATTATAAAACAGGATACAGGAAAAGGGAGGAGGAGGAGGTCAAGGAAAGAAGGTATTGAAAGTGGAGAATTGGAGAATGATGGTTTTATTTTTTTATTTTTCTTTCTCTTTTTCTGTCTTGTTTGTTCTTTTGTGTAATTTTTTTTTAAAAAACCTCTTTTTTCAATAAATATCATTAAAAAAAAAAAGCAGCAGTCTGATTGGTCCTAGAACAATAGGATTCAGAATGCAGTAGTCTGATTGGTCCTAGAACAATAGGGTCCAGAATGCAGCAGTCTGATTGGTCCTAGAACAATGCAGCAGTCTGATTGGTCCGCAGGAGCCACCCAATCCAGCTCCAGGTGGAAGTGAATCCGCAACCTGATTGGCCTACAGGAGAATCCCAGAACTAGCCAATCACGTGCGACCCATTCTGTAAATAATGTATATAAAGCAGATATTTTGGGGGAACTTTCATTCCTCACAACTATGAGCTGTATAAAGAGCATGAAATCCACACTCGACTCTGAGTATATTTCAAGTTCCATCAAACATTGTCTCGCCACTGGTGCTGTGATCACTTTTCCGAACATGACATACAAAGCAAACCACAGTTTACTATTCAAAGAGATTGGGAATGGTCTATTAGGAGCTTTCAGGTTTTTCTATTCAGAGCCTGAATGTCTTTAGAGTGAGCTTCTTCCATCATGTCTGGCAGCCTTTTCAATTTCTTCCTTTCTTTTTCTTTTTTAAATATCTGGATATTCATTTCAGTTCACCTGACAACCTAATACCCCCCCTTTTTTCCAAGACTCAAGTAGCTATTTTAATCTACTCTCCTCTTCATTCTAGACTCAGATGCTGCTCTGCCTTAGCAAAATAATCACTCTGGGCTGTCATACATTCTTCTATATATTTTTTTCTTACAGAAATATAAGCAGCAGCATGCTGGATAGCTTTAAAAGAGCATTCGACAGATTCATAGAGGAGAAGTCTATCAATGGCTCCCAGCCATTATGCCTATGAATACTGGCTGCTGGATACCTCAGGAGGCGAGAAAGCGCCCGTGTGCTAAAATCCTGCTCTTGGGCATCTGGGTAGTCTCTGTGATAACAGGATGCTGGTGGGGTGTCATCACTCACCTGAGCTCTGGTCGGCCATGTTAAGTATAGTAATTTAATTCACTGAAATTGTAAATGCTTGCATGCATTACTATGTGTTTAAATTTGATTGGTTGGCAACTGAACTCTAGTAATTCTCATGTGATTGGCTACCATTGGTCACATGGGAGGTATCTAGTGAAGGGAGATTCCATTTTTATGTGAAGCAAGATGGCTGTGCTTTAGAATCCACTGTGAACACTGCTTTTTTTTTTTTTAATAACCAACTCACTGGCTGCATCACAAGGTGACCGCCATTATTATTATTATTTTTTCCATTTTCCATTTTTAAAAAAATTAAATATTTTCTTGTTTTACAGAAGTATGTGTAATGTCTCTCGTATTTTTTCCATGTAACATTTTTACAAATCAGTTTCATTTGTTGAGACGTTAGGAAGAAAAGGGGTGGAGGGGGGGGAGATGGGTGGGGTCGGGTGGCGATGTTTCTATTTTGCTTAAACCAAAGGCTTATATCGCCTAATAGACTTTTATAAAAACAACAAACCTTTGTCAACACAAGAAATACAAGACAAACTAGAAGACACCCAAATGCCCTGGTTAACACAACACCAACTACATGCCCTCTTAAACAACCCAACGGTAAAATCAGCAGCAACTAGGCCCCTGACAACCTTCGAAAACCTCCTCCTAACAACAAAGGGAAATGGTAAAGGGATGGTATCCGCAATATACAAAATACTACTCAAAAATCCCACAAACCCCTAGATGCAATCAAAAACAATGGGAGAATGACATAGGCTATGAGATTAACCCCACTCAATGGACCAGAATGTGGTCTAAACCCCCTTTAAATCCATATCAACGCTGCTAAGTAGAATAGAGTGTTGGAGTACTTCTTTCCTGCTTGAAAGAAAAAAGAGCAAAGCTGCAGGAGAAGGTAAAAGCAGAAATCTCTCATAGGAGCTGCAAGGCATAGCCTCAGCTGAGCGCTGAGCTCTGGAAAGAGAGGAAAATACAGTTGTTTGGAAGTTAAAAGAAGAGACTGTAAGCCCATGCTTAGAGAAGCATGTGACTGTAAATATTATGTTTCTGCACGTAAAGTTTTTGGATGTTAAAGCCTGGACATTGATTTAATTTCCAAAGAAGGGTGTCAGTCATATATATGATTTAAGCTTGTTAGCTGTGTTTTTGCTACCCTTAATTCAACAGGCCACACCACTGCTGTATACTGTGAGGTGGAGGGTAAGAAACTGGCTCACATTTTAAGCTGACAGACATTAACTCTGTTGCCCCTTCACCAATGAAGATATATTCTCCAGATGTTCTGGACTTAAACTCTCATCAGTTCTAGCCAGCAGGCTTGGGAGAACTCAGAGATCTGAAGAATTACTTTTTTAAAAAATAGAATGAGGCAACCCTCTAATGGGAGAATGCCAAAAATAGCCCAGTGAGAACTGAGTCTGCTCAGTGATGACGGAATGCTGCCTGATTTGTGGGGATGGAAAGCCAGTCAGACATGGGGAATGGGATGGAGTGGCTAGAATCCTGAACAGAAAGCCTTCCATGCTGCAACATTTCATTGCAAGTCCCCCTTTTGCATTTCAAAGGACATTCAATTGCATCGATGGAATGGACCAAGAGCCTTCTAGCTCAGAAATCTGTTTTCCAGTAGAGGACAGCCATGTCTCTCTATGAAGCTCACAAGCAAGGGGTGAAGGAGGTGGCCTTACTCTGTTTCCAGTATCTGACACCTAAGGGAAATACTGCCCCTAAACATGGAGGTTCCATATAGTCATTGAGGTATGTGGCGGATGAGCATGCAGTCCATCATGTTGTACAGTGTGTAATCAAGAACCTCTGTGGCCTCTCTCGTTGCTTGGAATAATTGTGTGTAGCTGGACTCACATGTGCGCACCACATTTGTAGCATAATGATGGCTTTGAAAGAGGGGAAACGACTGCCCACAAGTGTGGCGTTTGCCTCCCAGGATGGGTCATAAGGAAAGGGTTAAAATGGGTGTGATGTGATTGGCCAGTGAGAATGCAAGGGGGGAATAAAAGTTAGAGTGGAGGTTTGGGAGTTGAAGAAGGAAGAGGGAGGATTAGGTGTGGGTTGGTAGAGCTGTATTGTGAGAGAGTGAGAGGAATTGTTAGGTGGAGTCAGATAGATAGTTGGAATAATCAGTTTGGAGTTGTTAGGAACTAAGAATAAGAAACTGACAAGAGTAAAATTAACTGAAACCATAAGCTTGTTCCTGCATTTAAAAATAAACTTGATTATTTGTTAATGTTAACAACTGACTGGACTCCGTGTGTCCCCGTGAGATACGGGGTGGTGGCAGCAGAAAAAGCAATTGCAGTGGTGGCACAGGGTCAATAGACCGTCAAACGTCCGGGGGCCCTGCGTGTGATCGCCACAACAAGTTTGAGTGTTCTGGCAAACATAAGGACATGCTTATGGATCAGGCCAGTGACTCATCTAGTCCAGCAGCCTGTTCTCACAGCGGCCGACCACTTTCCTGTGGGAAGCCCAATAGCAGGACCTGAGCGCAAGAGCACTCTCCCTATTGCCGTTTCAACCAACTGCTATCCCGAAGCATTGCTGCCTCCAGCTGTGGAGGTAGACCATATAGCCATTGTGGCTAGTGGCCATTGATGGCCTCATCTTCCGTGAACATCTGGAGCAAGGGGAAATGGACGGATTTGACCTCTGCACACAATTTTATTCCATGCTCTCACACAGAGTTCAAGCGAGTATACATTTCCATTTTTTGTCGGTGCTGTAGGTGAATAGGTGGGCCTAGTTATGAATAGATTCACACTTGTCTTTCCTTCTTTGCCAAACTGTACGATGGAGCGGAGAGGATCAGATAACGCTCAACGTTGACACTTTATTATATGCAGAGCTATTTATATCGGCAGCCTGCCCACCCAGCCAAAGCTGCTCTAAGCTTCCATTCACGTCAGTCTCTCCTTTCTCCAGGCTCCTGTTAACAGCGGCCTGTTCTTGCGCAAACTTCCCACTTCTGAAGCACTGTGCAAATGAGATGTGGCAAAGTGTTATGAATGGGACGTAGGGGAAACAAAAATCTCAACTGTGACTGCAAAGTGTCTCTCTCTTGGGTTAGGAGCCATTTTCAATTTCCAAATATCAGGTTATCGCTTTTTCTTTTCTGTGCTTGCTTTTAAATAAAAAATAAAATACCCTGGTCTTGTTTCAAATGATGTTCAAGGATGTTACGGGGAAAATTGGCAGGAAGATAAATGTCCCGGAAAGCTTTGTTGTGCCGAGTCAGACGAGTGATCCATCTAGCTCTGTATAATATGAAGCTGGAGCCTTTTACATGCAAAAAGAAAAGAAAATATGCCTCAAGACTCACTGCATGGGTCTAGAGGACTTCCTAGCATAGGCACCAACTCTACTGGGCTGATGAATCTTCAACCCCCCCCATGTCTGTTGGGATGGGGCTGAGCTCCCCCCCCCAAAAAAATCTTGAGGGGGTAGAGGAGGCTGAGCCCTTCCTTGCCCACCCCCCTCCCGTCCCTCTCTCCTACCTTTGTCTGCTGTCCGCCACCACCTTTGGAGATGCCATGAGGCCTGATGCAGCTTGACTGGAAGTTGCCCCATCCACACAGCAGCAGGAGATGCCATACAACTTAGCATGGCCTGGCTGGAGGCCACCCCAGGCCATATTGCATCTGGAGACACTGCACAGGCACTTGGGAGGTCTGCAGCAGTTGCACGATGCCACGACACATGTGACATCACAAACATGTCACATGTGTGACATCACACACACAACAGGCCCCCCCAAGCGCCTCTGCTTCCTAACATTTGGTACCAACCTGTACACTATCAGCTGACCTCTGCATGTCAAGCCCGACTCACCACACCCTATAAAACAACGACCTTCAGATCAAAGGCTCCGTCTAAGCAACTTGCCATTAGGAAAATGAGAGTCCCCCTGCCCAGTGCTCCAGATCCTGATGACCAGCTCACCTTAAAATCCCTGTCTCTTTGGGGAAAGGCGAGTAAGAGGAAAACCTGATAGAGGTGTTTAAAATTATGCATGGTGTAGAGAAAGCAGACAGTCAAGTTTTCCTCCCTCTCCCGCAACACTGGAACTCAGCTGTGCAACAAAGCTGAATGATGGAAGACTGAAGACAAAAAAGTTTAATGCACTTTTTTTGACAAAGGAATATTCATAAATAAATACGAATGAAAACATGCACCTCACCACTGAAACCATTCCAGTGTTACAATCCAACCTCTCAAAATTTCAGCACCTCTTGTGATGGTTTGATCCCTTTCCGTTTTAACAGTATAAATTCTACAAACACCTTCCATATCTCCTTAAAATCATTTCTCCTACATATTCCCCATTTTACCTTAATGGCTCTCCCTGTGTTGTTATGTTCCTGGGAGTCCTGTGCACCGGAAGTACTGGTTAGACCCATTTGACTAGGCGGATTTCTGCAGTTACTAAGAGCCTGCTCAAGTGCTGAGGTAGGCAGCTATGAGGCCCAAACCCAGCTGCTGAGAAACAACAGGAGGATAGTATCAGCATGGGCAGAGGAATCCTAAGGTTTGCAGAAGTAGAAAGAACTATTTAGGGGGAGAAAACCTAACAGGGGAAACAATATCCAAAAATAGCCCCATGTTCAGGGTGTTGAGGGAAAGGGTTAGAATATCCTGAAAAGAGGCATGACTGGATGGCTGGAACGCTGAACAAGTCCCACTTGTTATCTGCTAGTGTCCAGATTAGCTCTTCGGCAGCCGGAACTAGAAACTTAAACGTTGAACACTGGCGATTCTCTGGAAGTTAACTTTTCCTCCTGACATGGTATACTCACAAACAGAGAAGATACCCAAGTTTTCCTATGAGCTTGGTTTAGTTTTGAACCCCAGTAGATACATGTTTATTATCCAGTGTCTGCTACTCGCTTATTTCCATAGCGGCAATTCTCAATGCACCACTGCCTCCCTGCCGTCTAATGCTGTTTTGTAGCAATGCTGTGGTCTGAAAAAGCTGACTCTGGCATCCTAAGGTCAACCGCAAAGCTGCTGACGTCCACTAAAGTGCACGCCAAGGATATGCATGTTTGGACGGGTGCCGGTTGGCCTTGATTCGATGGCTCCTTACACACCGATGATGCTAAAGCACATTGGGAATTTGTCAAGCTTACAGAAAGGAACGCACAGAAAACCCACAAGCATTAATCCTGAGGAAGGATGCAGCGACCAAGCACTGGAAGGGAAGGGAAACGTCTTAATATATGACCCTGCTGTGTTAGTGTATTCATTTAGTTTTATAAATATCCATATCTGAGAACCAGATGTGATATCAAGCACATGACTGGACATTTTTCAGCTGCTTTTTGTTGATTAAATATGAACCTGGGGAAGGCATGATTCATATTAGGACCAAAGCTCTGGGGGGAAAAGGAAATTTAACTTCCCCCACCATGGTCCAATCCAGATTGGGGATGATCCTGCTGCTGCTGTGTACATCAGGAAGAAAGTTGGCATGGGGATGGGATGATCGGGACCCTGGGCATGATACCCATGGGGTTCCCTTCAGCTGATGACTCTTTCTCATTGTAACCTTCCTCACAGAATTATTGTGAGGGTAAAATGGGAAGTGTTGGCCTGTGCCTTGTCCTGAGCACCTGAAGGAAACCTGTAAGAAATAAAATGAATGCCTTGCACATCTGTTCAATGGTTGAGCTTTGGCAAAACCCAGAAGGAAGAAGTCTATTTCTTGTGACACTGAAGTAATCCAGCCTTAAGCAGAATGGAGAGTTAAATTAGCCGACTTGGAGATCAAAGGTCAGCACAGAATTTCTCCTGGTTATCCCAATTCATACTCCTGAACTGAATGTGGTATCTTTCCAGGACTGGGAAAGGGGGGAAGCATTTTGTGGGCAAGAAACCCACAGTGGACCCCCATAACCTGAAGGAGGTGATGAGTGCAAACTGAGAATTCATTCAGACTTTCTCACAAAAGGAAGAACGATGGAACTGCTAGAATGGTAGGCCCTTCACTCATCTGGAAATTGCAGCCGATGCCTGACATCACCATCCTCTGGAGTTGACTCTGCTGGGTGTGCAAGCAAGGTGGATTTCAGAATACAGTCTGCCATCTTGAAGGCAAAAAGTGCAGTGATGGGAGAAGTTAACTTCCACTTCCTAATCTATTATTCAGTATATCTTGGCTTTCCCCTTGGCCCTATTCAAAGGTTATGATAATCTTTGACCTTGTTCCCATCGTAGATATAGATTTTAAGGGACCAGCAAGTTCATCTAATCTCCCCGTAGTGCAGGCCAATTGAATTTCCTGCAGTTATTGGCAGTAATGAGTGTGGCAAATTGCATTTGGCTGAAGACTCTCAGTTCGAAGGGCATCTAGTCTTTTAAACTCTTTGGCATGCTGTGCAGTGAGACGTTTTCTTCTTCTTCCCACCCACCATCCCTTCCCTTGCCACTCGGAATGTTCAACTTCAGACCCGTGCAAATGATCACTGGACTCTTTATAAAATCTCTAGACCTAGAAAGTCCCAGCAATATTTTGAAAGCTAAATCAGAGCGATTTCCCCAGATCAAAAAGTCCCTTTACTCCAATGTTGTAAGTAGTTATTTTTAGACCTAGAACAGGTTTCTAGTTCAGCACCATGCAAACATTTTTAAAAGTTTGCAAAGTGAAAACTGTGAGCTATTTCAGTGGTAACCTCTGTGAAGTGCAATTTGTAAAATCTGCAGTGGGTTAAGAATCGTTATATGTAAACCATTCAGACACATTTCCTTCTAAGTCTCAAGGGTTTTTTTCCCTAAGTAAACACATGTAGGGTTGCAAATAAAGCCTTGTTTCAATAAATGGTTTCCTAGGGTGGGAATAATTTCTTTATTATTATCCATCAGCTTGGCAGAGTAAAATGTTTCTCTTTGACACACAGAGAGAGCTTTACCAATGTAGGAACCCAGCTGAGGACCTGCGATGGCATTTACTTGTTTAAATCATTTTTACCCTGATCTTAAGTTGAAAAGGCTCCCAAAGCAGCTTACATAAGGTCATCTAAAACAAGAGAAGCTTACAGTCTAAAAGACATGGCACAAAAGGAAAAGGGGACAAGGAGGGAAGAGCACCAGCATACAAACTATTCCTAAAGTCACAGACTGGTAACAATTGTTTTGGCTTGATGCCCTTGCTAAGCCTCCAAGCAAGTTTAGCACTGTCATTTTGTCTACCATCTTGGGACTATGTCTAGTTATTCCAAATCAGGGTAGTAGGGAATAATTCACTGTTATTTTCATGACTCTCAGTATGAAGCACGGTACTGCACAGATTATGCATTTTTTTAAAACTTAAAAAACACACCATGCAAATTATCTTGGTGAGATAGAAAAATAAAAATATTTCCACCTGGGGGACAACATTTTGATAATGCACTGTATACAGCAGCTTCCCATGCATTGGTTAGAGTCTGCCCAGTCTATATTGAGTGTTCATTTTGATTTGTTTGCAGGGCAGTTATATAATAATAAGCATTTGTCCTGATTTACTTATAGGCAATAAACAACTACCTGACATTCAGAAGACATCTTAAGGCAGCCCTGTTCAGGGAAGTTTTTAACGTGTGATATTTTAGTGTATTTTTGGTTTCTATGGAAGCCGCCCAGAGTGGCTGGGGAGGCCCAACCAGATGGGTGGGGTATAAATAATAAATTATTATTATTATTATTATTATTATTATTATTATTATTATTAGGGTATTTACATTATTTCCTATTTGTCATTCATCCCATACTTTTCAATGCATTTTTCCATCACTTTCCAACCTGGATAAAAAGTCCATGTTGTTGTTGTTTAAGTGACTTTGTTGTGCTATGGTGATGGAGCACTTTGATCCATTGTAATTATGCCAACCAAGAGCTCCAGTATGTGCTTGAATTTCTCCTGCAAAATGCTGGCAGCCTGAAGGTAGCCCAAAACTGGTACGTTAGAGACACCAACCCAAATGGGCACTTTGATGTGGACTGTAGGGTATTGTTCATCTGCAAAATGATAGATTACAGGGCTATATTCAAGAGAGATTAAGCAGGGAGCGAAGATAGCCTCATGTATCAGTGCAGAGGAAGAAAGCAACACCAGATCCAATTCAGAATTGGCCAGTTTTAATCATCCTTTGAGTTTTCAATTTTTTAAAATAATAATGCCTGAGCCTTCTAACTCCTATCATGGTCTCCCAGCTGCACCCCTAGAATGACTATACGCCAGGAGGATTGACCTCAAGCTGGCTTCATATCAGGTGGCTCCTTCCTTACACAACTGTGTCTCCCAAAGCGTTTTACAGATTAAGCAACCTCTTAGTTCGAAAGGACTTGAAAGTCAGGCAATTAAAATCTTCTTAGCACCGGGGCTTTCTGTTTGGCCGAAGAGAAGGAACAAGGGACCGGGGCTGGCTTGTTTAAAATCCCTTTGCTGTTTGATCTCTTTGGAGCAACTGACGTCTGTTGTATTACTCTCCCCTTGTTTCCCCCCTTTCATTAGATTACGGAGAGAGGGGAGGGGAGCTGGCGTATGTGTGACCTTTCCGTAGCGTCTGTCAATGTGCCGCATGTGTTGCCTCAGCTGAGTGATTATGCTCTGGCACAGGGCAACTTTGTGGTGTACCAATGAGAGAGGGAGAAAGAGGATAATGTCCCTCAGAGGGCTAAGGAAGCCAGCTGATAG